TAGAACATCAAGGGGGCACTTTCATAATGTGACAAATTTTTCAGCTTTCCTTCACTCTCACTTTGTTTTTTTCTCTCACATGCTCTCTCAGCCTCTCTCATGTCTTTTTTTAAGGACACATCAAGTGGCTTTTAAGGGTCAGGGTTATTTCAATTATGCAGACATAAGACGTGATCAGAACCTTATGAACAGCATAATCACTGCAGAACAAAAGCCTCTCGGCCCAGAATAATATGCAGATTAGAGCCTATTATCAGAAAATTTGCCTCTCGTTGTCTCTGAACTCCATCATCTGTTGCATCAGAGGTGACTCACTCACCCCTGAACTGAGATGCCTTCCTCTGGTCTTTACCTGTCGTCTTTTCTTGATGGAGGATTATGTAGAACAAAGTGAATTGTAAAGTTTCAGAGAAGCATGAAAGTAAAGAAAGTTGGGGTCTTAAGTTAGTGTGCAAGGAAAGCGATTAAAATGTATTTTTTGTTTTCAGAGCAGACTAACGATAACTTCAGAGAGTCGGTAAGAGACTTAGTGGAGACTTGGACCGGCTCGGTGCGTACACTGGATACTTTCGGTGGTATCAAGTCACAGATATTTTGAAAATATACAATTTCATGACGCCTGCATTCCCAGTGCGCAGGAAACAGATTAAGATCTCGGTCCCTATGGTCTGATGAGTGTGCAAGCGTGTGTGTTGTGGGACTAATCAGTACACATTTGGCTGGTGTGATATTACCAAAGACAAGTCTCTAAGCTGTGTGCTGATAATGTCATTGACAGGTAAGGTCATAAGCATACAGAGTTTTATACCACAGTGGGAACCTTCATATCATGGGACCATTGACTTTTATGTTTATATTTTAAGCTAATTATGTCTGCTACACCCTAATACCAAAAGTATGTCTTGGTTTTCCATTTGCCGCTAAATTAAGCACACAGTGCGCGACAAATTTTGGCATCAACAAGCTCCACGCAGACTGTTCGCAATCAGTCTGATTTTCACAACGCTTTTGCGCAGACTTTGCATCATCTGTGCAACTGAATTAATTATTTGGTCCACTAGGTGGCAACACTCACAATTAGTTGAAGAAAATGGAAATAATAATAATCAGCAATTTTTAGGGACAATCATATACCAACTGGAAAAATAAGAAATTAAAGAGATTTGCAGATGATTTCAGGAACATATCAATCATTTGTACAATCACTTGTAATGTGACATAATTGCTTATTACTTTTGACCAATAAGTGTAAATGTGCTAATGCATTGCAGAGACATAGCCTTGGATACATTTTGGCATCATGTCATCAAATTTATTTGAACAGTAGATTTCCAAATAAATTCAAAACGTTCAACCAACTATGCCATTATTGGTAATGACTTGGCATCACCCAATGGATTTCAAAACCCAATTCATTTTTTTCCCTTTTTCCTAAGTATATTAGGCAAAAATTCATTTTGGCATCATGTCATCAAATTCATTGATGTGTTAGACATGAAATCTATAACTTTTTGCTGCCAAGGTCTGAAGATGATCTCAGTCTAATTTGGTGAAAAAACAGATCAAGAGTCTAGGAGGAGTTAAAAAGTAGGTTTGCAAAGAAATTCAGAATGCTCATCCAACTATGCCATTATTGGAAATGGCTTCTCAGCATCACCCAATTTGACAAATTCATTGGGTTTCAAAAACCAATTAATTTGTCAAAATTTTGCCTAAGGATAATAGGCAAAATTAATCAAAAGCTATTAGAATTTTATTTTATTGTAATTTTGACCACAATGTGGCAAACTTTTAGTGTACCCTCAGCTCATAGTGCCAATTATACACACTTCTCATGAAGACGTTACATAAAATACAGTATTTTGAACTGAAATTCAAAATGGCTGACATATAAAATGGCCAACATGGAAAAATTGGGAATTGCTTGATTCAGTATGCCACATAAGGTATGGTGATCTCATGTTTTACTAGCATTTGGTCCCCACAAAGGTAGTAAATCCAGGGCGACACACACAATGAAAGCAGCAGGTGTTGCAATACCTCTTTTGGCACTCATTATCAACTACTATGGCATGTAGCAGCCGAGTGCTGATTTCCTCTTCTCACAAAACAAAGTCACACTTGAAACTGCGATCTATCATCGACTCATCTTGAGGAAATAATTGTATTATGTCATATCTGTTTGGGTTTTGGGTCTGTCCATCATCTGAGTCATGTATCAAACATCAGACAGTTTTCCTCTCAGGTCAATGGATTGTCAGAGCACTTCATTACGGGCAGCAGGACACAGTGATGTGATTCTGCCTGATTCCCCCTTCCTCTCCCACTCTTGCTCCAGGCCTGGAGTCCAACCTATAAAAGCACGCTTGAGTCTGAGAATTTGCAGCTGCAGTGTTGATTTCCCAGTGCAATACGGCACTCTTTTGTTAATATTGAAATCAACCCAACTATTAGGGCAGCCCACATCAGCCCCGACGAGCCATTATGTTGCTTTAAAGCAAACTCTCAGTAAGAAAGGCAGGGAGTGAAATGAAATCAGTTATGGTTCTTACATTCTTGCGACAGTCTCACAAGGAGTTATCAAAGCCCTTTTCCCCCCACGGCTGACCTAATGCTCACCTCCTCATTTGGCTTGGACACATCATTAAGAATATGCATGAGAGCGATGTTTTTCTTCTCTGGTGCTGTACTACAGCAGTGTTGTAGTTAGCTCATGAACCCTCAGGGCTGTCTGTGGGGTTTGTTAACAGAATGAAGCATGAGAAAGGGTCCTGGATAAGGACCCAGGGCAAACACATGTGGTTTGGCTACATTTTTACCCAATACCATTTATCCTAAGACGATTTTATTAAAAGCATACACGGCAGGCACGAGCTGAGAGGGAGGCAGTAAAGGAGACACAGAGTGTAGGACACATAAAGGGAAAACATGTTTTATGGCTCTGCTTAATAGCGAAGTAATATAATAAAACTGACCACAATAAAAATGATTACTACTTAAACATCATCGTTTTCTATTCATGCCTACAGATTGTAGTAGAAAACCTCTGCAGCTGGGAAAAAAGAATTTTTTTTTATGCATTGTGACCCAATGTTTTGACAAATGCATGTAAATATGTAATTCAAACCATACAAAGAGAGAATAACTTGATCTGTGAGTGCACTGAATGTTTACCCTTTCCATACATTAAATAAAGAGCGAAGAAGTTCTACCATTTCAAATATGCAGCTGGAAAAAGTAATTTCATGATGTTTACAGCTCATGGTTTATTTACCCATGAAGCAGGTGAATACACTCATGAGGAGAGGGCCTGTTATGCTTATTTGGCTTTTTATGCTAAAGCTACACGTCACCATGGTGTGTTATGCATGTGTTACAGAACTTACTGGAATGGTTTGTTACAGACAGCAAACCTGCCAAGACAATTATCCGCACCTGAGAAAACAATCCATCCATTTTAAAATCACACAAACTCACACACCCATAGCAAAGGGGATACTCGCCCTATGACAGGAGTCACAGGCAGCTTCCTGTCTCTTCACATTACTTGGTATCATACGGTGTCAACAGTTTACAGTCACTGCGGGCTACACTCTTCACTTCTCCGAGGAAGCGCTCATCGGATATTTTTAATCAGCCTGTTGCCTGTCAGGTGGCTGTGATTCAGCTACCATCACTTCGCGGTGTGCTGAAATCATACCTTTCCACATTGCTCGCTGAAGCCCATTTTCTGCCTTAGAGTAAATAAATACAACAGATAATTGTGAGAAAAATGAATCTAATGAATAGTCATATTAAAAGATTGTATTTGCAAAATTCGCAATTAAGATTTAATTAAATCTAGGATTCAATTAAATAGAATTTGAAGATAAAATTGCAATATTGAATAATAAAGTCACAACTGTGAGATATAAAGTTGCAATTGTAAGTGAAGTAAAAATAATAAAAATAAAATCAAAATGGACATCATGATAAAATCACAATATCGATGAATACATTTTCAATTGTGAGATACTAAGTTTAAGTTGCAATTACAAAAAAGTGGAAGTAAATATTGTAAGATATAAAGTCACACTGTGAGACATAATATGACCATATCAAGAAAGTCTTATTTGTGAGATATAAAGGTGCAATTACAAAAAAGTTGTAATTGTAATTAAAGTCAAAATAATTAAAACAAAATCAAAATTGAGATAAAATTAGAATAGTGAAATAAAATTGCAATGTCGAAAAATAAAGTCACAATTGTGAGATGTTAAGATATATTAAGTCAAAATAATACAAATAATAAAATCACAAGATATAAAGTAAGAATTGTGAGATATAAAGTAACACTGTGAGAAAAAATCACAATATCAAGAAATAAAGTCTTATTTGCGAGATATAAAGTTGCAATTACAAAAAAGTCATAATTGTGAGTTATAAAGTAAAAAAAAAAAATATATATATATACAATTCAGACAAAGTAAGAACTGTGTTTTCTCAGTTCAAAATGAGGTATTAGTAAGAATTTTAAGATATAAATTATACTTTGAGATATAAAGTCGCAATATCAGGAAATAAAGTCACATTGTGAGATATAAAGTTGCAATTATGAAAAAAAAACAATCATGATATAAAGCCACATTGTTAGATGTGAAATCACAATGGCAAGTAATTAAGTCAGAATCGTGAGATGTAAAGTCACAATAAGGAGATATAAAATCCATGTATTTATTCGTGCAATAAGGTCTATTCTTTGTTTTTATTTTATTTTATTTTATTTTTTCTCTCACTCTGAAGTGGAAACTGGCTTCAATAACTATGAGAAGAGAGAATGAAAATCCAATTTGAGATCTGACATTTACATTTGCAGACGATGGTAGCAAAGATTTGTACAACCGAAAACAATTGAAAACATCCAAACAAGCGGCTCACACACTCCAAATTCACCGAGTTGAGTTCCACGGAGCCCAGAGCCCGCGAGCAAAGCTTAAACGTCAACAAACCCAAGCACTCACCTTCCTGACATTCCTGACGGAAAATAATCCCGCTTCTACAAACAAACACTCCAAAGGCTGCTGGCTCTTTACATACATCAAAATCTAAAGAGAGAGAGAGACAGAAAAACCCCTGAGATAAGCACCCAGCGCTAAGCCGGCCGTTATGATGTTTGCGGCCTGAGACAGCAGAGGGTGATGTGGCGGCAACAAGCCTGGGCTAAGATGACTCCCTTGAGTCGTGCCCTCTTTCCCTTCACCTCATTGAAGAGCCTTACATAATCCTGACAAACAAATAAACAACACAACAAACAAGCGGCGCATGTGGTTTAAGATGCCACAGCTGCAAAAAAAAACACACAAAAAAACAAAAGATAAGGGACGACAACAAGGGACGTTCTGTCACGTGTCCACCCAAATACATCGAAAAGCGAGCTCCAAGACAGGTTTGACTCATCAGAGTGTCTTCTTTTTTACATTCACCCTATCCGTCGCTCCCTCCCTCAGTGTCAGCCCCCCAGCTGAGGAATGTAGGTCATGATACAGAGCTATTTCAATACAGGCAGATCACAGCGCAGCAGGGGCACACACACGAATTCACAACACACACACACGCACAATAAAAACTTCTTTCATGAAGGAGAAGCACATTCTGACAGAATGAGAGGGCTTGCGAGTGTGAAAATTCGGAATGGATAAAAATATCTGCAGGAGTGCTTCACAGTGGTGTGTCATTTTGCCGATTCCATTCGCCGACGAGCTAAAACGGGTTATTTTCGCTTTCATACATGTAGATTTGCGCCTCCACTTGCCCTCGCCATCTTCTCGGGGGTTATGTCAGCTGAATAATGTAGAGGGAGCAGTCGAATGGTTGGTTGGGAGTCCTCCCGCTGGGCTGGGATCCACGGGCCAAAGAGATGGAAATCTCTCAGACGCAGGAGCCTGACACATCTGGGCCGTCTCAAGCGACAGTGCCGAGCTCCCGGGTCCACGATGCCTCACCCCTGCCGTGTGCCGAACCGCCGAACTGAGCCCTTTATCTCCATCTCCTTTTCAGTCTTTTTCTCCTCTGCCGCTGCGTCTCCCACGTTCCTTCGCTCCCCGCTGCCTCTCGTCTATAGGTCGGTGCGTATGGATGAAAGAGAGGATTTTACTTCGTTTTGACAAAGAGAGAATAGCTGCTTCTTTTGTTTTGTGATGTTTGGAGAAATGTGTGCATGTGTATGTGTTAGAAAGCTTCCCTGAAGGATTTTGTGTTGACACTTGGTTTGGAGTTAAACTGAGAGAGTCTGGCAGGCTTGGGATTTATCTGGAGACAAAGTGTGTGTGTAAAAGAGAGAGAAAGGACACATAATATTGTGATAGGCTGCACTCACTAAAACAGAGGAAAACACACCTGTCCCTGATGTACATCTGCCAACACGACTTATTTTTCCACTTTTTTCCATTCTAAAATAAATATAAACCCATAATATAAAATGCTGCAATTATGGCAAAATACTAAATAATATTACAGTTTATACAGTCTAATAAAATGTTAAATGTAGTTTTAGAAAAAAAAATACAATGCACGTAACATTTGCAATATTAATTGGATAAAATCATTATAACTATTCAAATGAAACTGTTAATCAATAATAATGATCTAAATTAATTTATAGTGAATTATAATATTAAATGAAATATATTACTTTGATGTTATTATAAATTACAGAGCTTGATGCTTTGATGCATGTTAATAAATTATTATTAGCATCTTGTGTACAATTTACTGATTTATGAGTGGTAATAAACATTCTTCATATTGATTTATTTCGAATCATTATCCTCCATTGCTGCTTGATTTTACATTTCTGTACAATGCTTTATTTTAAATGTTATGCATTTATATTGTATATACAATTTCTATATGCATTTATGTATTTATCAACTATTAATTAAAAAAATAAAATGCTGTTTGTATTACTCTATTACTGCCAAACAGAAAAATCATTATACTGTACCAAGTTGACCGTCATTAGACCATGACTTGGTGCTCCAAGAAAAATAAATCGTTTCTGAATGACTGCACCAATTTCTTAGTTCTTGGTCACCAGGTATTCGACCTGAATTCACATGGACTGATGTGACTGATGGTTATGTGTAAGATTTCCATTATGCCTCCTTGTACAGAAAGGCTTTACAGATCCGCTGTGCTGTTCACTGGATATTACTTCAGAACAGAGCTAATGGACATATCGCTAGTCCTAAAGCTGTATTCTCTTTGTCTCTCTTTGTCTACCACATGCTGTCAAGTACGTCCCACAATAGCTCTGCTACAAAACCTAGTGAGCCTCGCTGCCTACATAGTCTTGTGTGGAACAAAACCGTAAAAAGTGATGGATCTGAAATGCTCTACATAGGCAAAAACTCTGTGTTGTGACTCAATTTGCAATCGATTTCAATGCAAGCAACATAAATAGACACAGAACACATACATTTTGAGTAAAATAGTATTTTTTAAGCATTTCTTGTTGATTCTTTTCAGCATTTAATTATATTTGTAATATAGAAAAATAAAATTTCACCTTCTTTGGATTCTTATAATTTTTTCAATGAGCTCATTGTAATTCATTCTCTTTGATGAACACGTGATGCTGCATTAAAATGAACATTCCTTTCTTTTGAAACAGCCTTTGGGTCAGAAACGTGCCTATAAGGAGGAAGCTTACTAGGTTTTTGGAACAGAGCTTATGTGTGTCTCTCTGAAGTGTTCTGAACTAATACTACCATTTAGTGAATTTAGGCAGATTTAATTTTCTTCCGCTAGCTAGAGAAGCACATTTCTGCTAACACAAACACTCTCTCACACTCTCTCAAACACACACACACACACTTTAGCGGCCTCAACCAGGGATGTGATAGGACACAGCTGGGAGGTCAAGCTGACAGTAAGATGGAGCGGGTGTGTGCGACCTGACTAAATCCCCCCATACATCCAGTCCTGGACACACAAACACAGGGTAACCTGAACGTGCAGAGGCTACTGTCACCTATTCACTCAGTCTCACTTTACACGGGGCCTATTTGCAGCTAGAGGCAGGAAGAAACATTCTCACAACTACCGTGTGTGTCACCGTACATCTCATCTGGATGTATAGAGAGTGATTGATAGGCCTGTCTCGCTCCGGCACTACATCGTGTAGTGTGCACTGCAGCTGCTCTGGTGATGCATCACAAACCGAGGGAACGTCTGAAATATCTCTACGGTAAGCACTTTTGTACACACTGGAGTAGATACGCATGTGAGAGACAACAAATATGCCGAAGAAAGGAGTGGGGGGTGATGCGTGAGAGGGAAAGACAAATATAGAGAAAGCATGCTAAATTACTGGCCACAGCGCATGAGTTCTATCATACACAAACTGGAAAATTGCTAAATGATTTAGCTGTGGCCAAACAAAACAACACAATCCACAGTTAACATTTGAACTCATCTCAAGCCTTCCCATTAATCCCCAAAATTATTTTGTATATGAACACAACATGCAAAATCATCGGCACTCACACAAACACACACAAAAGCAATTTAGCACAATGGACAGTAAACAGACTACTGAGTTGGGAGAAAGAGGGTTCCTCATTATAATAGAATAGGGAGGGAGTCTAATTCTTTACTAAAAGCGGTGAGAGAGAGAAAGAGAGAGCACTAAAATACAGAGAAATGCAGTACTAGAACTACGCATGTCTTGAAACAAGCCAATTACTAGCAGCCCATAACTGAGTACAGCACGATAAATTTAGGCTACTGTCCTGGAGGAGAGCAACTATATGAGTGAATCTGATGAAATTTAATTTTATAATAAAATATAATTAAAAGAAATTGAATTATTATAAATAAAATACTGTATAGATAAATAATTCAAATTTGTCCTCACAGTACTGAATCCAAACGCTTTTTTAATTAGTTTGTCATTTACTTGATCTAAATCATCATAAATTAACTGCAAGACAAAGTACCATTATGTATAAATACTTTACCATTTATTTATTCACAGCACCATAATGTAGATGACATTTTTGCATTATGCTAAGGAAAATTTTGGAGCAATTTTGAGCAAATTATATTGAACACATTGTTACAAAACATTACACATCTGGTCCTAAATAGCCTTCATTTCTTAAAGTACAAAATGTAAGTATATATTTTAGTTTTCTTTTAAATTTGGACTGGATATGTTATTGGCAGATTTCGTGAGATTCGCCCATATGATGGTGCAAATGCCGTATTGAATGACAACTGATATTAAACCATACTCAGTCAGTGGACAAAATGAAACAGATGCTTTGGTTAAACAGCTCAACGCTGTCTCTTTTGTATGACATTTTATGTAAACAAGAATTTGAGACAATGATGACTATAAATGTGTTTTCCTTCCTATTTATTAAGCTGAATGCCAAAAGATACACAGAGCTAATTTGGTCTGTGTGTTAGCCTCAGAGAAAGAAACATTCCCCTAGCACACACACAGACAGTATATACACAGATGACACAAATCTGGAGTCATAACTCAAAGGCAGAGCATTGCCCTAAATCTCTCTCTCTCTCTCTCACACACAAACACACACACACACACACATGTGCATGTGTGAACACAGGCTGCCTTCAGATTCTAAGCATACATTATTTAAAGTACACTACCAATTACATAATTACACACATTCAGAATTGAGAATTTCTCACTGGTTTTAAAGGTAAGAAAGACAAATAATGTGACAAGACAAACAGACACCACTTGGGGCCATTGCTTGTTGTTAAAGCGGGGAAGCACACATCACACATTACTTAAAATAAATACTCTCTCTCTGATTCTCAAAAAAAAAAAAACTGCTTCTCAAACCACTACTCACGTTTTTTTTTTTTTTGCAATATTTAGAAATGGCAATAAGCTTTATTTTTTAGTTTAATTTCAAGAATCGTCAGTCAAATATATTTCCATTTAATTTTTGGCCATCTATTGCAAAATCAGTGAGAACTCATCCATTTATAATATTCCAGGCAGAACAAAAAGTCAGCGATTGAAAGCCTAATGTCAAATAAAAATCATA